GTCAGGTGATGGCGTAGCATATGCTGTGTATGGAGGAGGAGGAGCTGAGGAAATGGCAGTCTCATCATACATCACTTCAGAACCAATGTAACCCTAAACATCATTAATAGAAACAGACAACCATTACTTCTGCCCATACAATGAGTGCTAGTTAGAGTGACATCAATACCCAAATAATCCAGCAATAAACTAAAGTATCTCTAGAATTCCTGCATATAAATATTTCCCAACAACACAGTATCAGCATCACTTGTTTTAAGAGTAATTTTATTACAGTAGTGCACAATGCAAATAGTTTGTGGGGATATTTCAGTGGCTATAACTTTTCTGCCTCCAGAAGGAAAAAGAGTGCATCTTACAGTGTTGCAGTAGAAGCCTGGTTAGGGGAGGTCAGAAGGGTGGGAGAGTAAGAGAGGGCAATGCAGATAAAGTCTGATCAGCTCCTGGAATAAGCCATTTGCTTTTTTGACTCATTTTATTCCGTTCATTTTATGCTTTCAATTTAAGGATCATTCTTTTCTTGTTCAGAACTAATTCATTCATTTGGAGGGGTGGCAGGAGGACAGCAACTATTCTCATACAAGTCCATCAATTCTGCTTTGTTCCCCCATATAAGTTCCACTGACTTCATTGGGCTTACATTAGTTCAACCAAGTGCAGATGGCTTCCTCCAAGAACTGCCAAGAAAAGCCTAGAGTTATACCTTTGGGTTCATATATTTATATTGGTGGCTTTAAGCTTCTCAGCAAACCCACTTTTTATGAAAAAACAAGCCAAGGTCCTGAAAATAGCAGTTCAACATTTTAGAAAGTTCTGAATTTCTTTCAGCTCTTTATGAAAAAGGGCATGCATAATTTATAATGTTACACCAGGAGCAATTTTAAAAGCATTCTGTTAATCCATACCCCTCAAAAGGCAGCAAGGGAGCGGGGGTGGTGAGTGAGTTACACAATATCTACCATGAATTCTCAACAGTTTAAATTTTTCAGAACAGTCTTGGATTTTTGCCACTAATTGTGGAGATCCGTAATACTGCTCTTATTTAAGCTACAGGTTTCCTATAAAGAAACAGCTAACATTATAGATGCATTGTTCCTTTGCATTCCTAATAATATTTCTCTGTTGAACTGTAAGTGAGATGCAGAAGACCTTAATTAGATAAATTTTTGCTTTATGCCCTCAGTTGTGTTTCTGTCTTTGTCAGAGATTCTAGGGGTTGTTTTGTTTGGGTTTTTTTGTCCGGCACTTTCCTTTCATAATGCCCAGCTTCCAGATAGCCCTTTTCAACAGTAGATCTCAGAGCACTTGAAGTGACTGGATTTCATACACCAAATGAGGGACATAGAGGCACCATTTTAAAGAAAGAATCTACAGTTCCTAAATCCCTAATCAGGCCTATTCTGTTAACACTGATGGAATAAACAGTCCCAGTCAAAGATATTTATTTGATCTTGTCACTGTACATCACTAAAAAGTTAAATAATGTTCAGGGTTTCAGTTGCATGAATCTTGCTGTGCTTTCTAACTGGCTGCTGAAACCAATCCCGATCTCACAAGTACTTAAGTGGACTTATCCACCCAGGTTCCCAATGAACCCACTGAATCTACTTGGTGCTCCAGTGTTTGCAGAACTGCAGCCAAAATAAACCACTTTCCAAAGCTGAGGAGCACCCAGCTAAGCCAGTGAAGTCAGTGGGGGCTACTGGATACTCAGTAGTTTTGAAAAACTGGGTCAATTACTGAGATAACTGTAGGTGACCGTGAGACTAATTTTAGGCTCTGATTTTTAAAATATGTTTTCTAAAGCTTTGACACTGAATAACATCCAAAGACCCTATTTAAGGTATGGTGTGTTAAGGTGATGTCTCCTAAAGCACCAATGACCAATACAAAATTCAGATCTATCACCTCTTTCTTATCTTCAGAACTTTGAAGTTCCTAGCTGCGTATTAAACTCCCCATGCCTGATCTCCACTGTGCAATTGCACTGGTTCACAAGTAAAATCCACCTCTATCTCCCTGTTTTTTATAGCAATTAATTTCTTTGTCTCCTGTTTATTTTAATAGAGTATAACTTTGCTGTACTCTACAGTAATTATGTTGTACAAGAAAGTGCTGTTTCCATATGATAAATATTAGCTTCAGACATCCCCAAATATAAATAGTGCCATGTGATGATGTGTCAGCTCTTGTGGCAATTTGAGCGCAACTAATCAAAGACAGGAAATAAGCTGCTGGAAGGAAAGATCAAGATTTCCCAATGGACCTGAAACATTTCAGATTCAGTCTTCAAACACCGCTGTTTATTTACCCAAGAAAAGCTAACATCAAAGTGTTCTGGAAGGCAGAATGAAGGTAAGGCAAAAAGTAATCACAGAATCATAGTGAAGTAGGGCTGGAAGGGACCTCCAGAGGTCATCTAGTCCAAACCCCTGCCTGAGGCAGGATCATCCCTGTCCAAGCCATCCTATACAATCCGTAATTTAGACCCTACAAAATACTGCTGTCAACAATCATGTTTCTAGAAGAGCAAGTTAACTTACAGGTTTCAAAGGCTCTTAACAGAAAAGCAGTTGTACAGACATCCTTGTACAGATGAGGCACTGGACCAGCCATTTTAAATGAGCTGAGTATTAGTTGCTAAAAAAGGATTTCGAGTTCTCTCTCTCATGGAGCTCGTAGTGGTAATCTCTGGGTGTCTCTACATGAAATGCTTTAATGTGCAGTAGACTAACCTACTGCACAGTAAAGCATCACTATGTAAGCATGTGCATGAACTATGTGCAGTAGATTAGTCTACTGTGTGGTTTTTCTACTACCCATAAAAACAGGTAGTAGATCAGGGGTGTTCAACCTTTTTGAGTGTGGGGCCGGATCATGAACTTTTTATCACCCACTGGGCTGGCAGGAGCAGGCGCTTGCATGGCCTGTCCAGTCCAGCTGCAGCCTGGGGGTGCAGGGGTGAAGGGGTGCCGCCTGACCCCACCGTGTCCTCCCTGCCACCTGGGCAGCCTCGAGGATGCTCCCACACCTGCGCGCCTGGGCTCAGCAGCCAGGGTGACATGTGGGGATTCTATAGGCAGATGCAGGATGTGCAGGGACACCCCTCTGCTCCCTCTCCCCCGGGGCAGCCCGAGCCCAAGTGGCAGGGGACCCTCTCTCCCCGAGGCCCACGACTCACCACCCCCAGCATGAGATCTACGGGTGCAGGGGGATGCCGGGAGGCAGGATTGGCGTCAGTTTCCCGCCCCAACAGCCACAGCAGCAGCGGCAGCAGCATCTCCTGCAGGCCCAGCCGCAGCATCCCTTGAGCCGGCATCTGCGCCCCCTGTGCCTGCCCGCTGCACTGTGACCTGCTCCACCCCACACGGCTGGCGGGGACCGGCGCAGGGCAGAGCTGGCATGCAAATGAGGAAGGGAGTGGCGGGACTAGGGACAGAAACCCTGCAATGTGGGGAGGGGAGGAGCTGGCATGCACATGAGGAAGGGAGGGGTGGGGCAAGGAAGGGGAGGAGCCGCACCACGTTGGCAACGTCAAGCTGATGCGGTGCGAGTGGGAACCGTGTCCCTTCCCCAGCCACGAGGAAGCTGCTGAGGGGCTGGGGGAGGGACAGAGGGTGGGAACGAAAGTAAACAGCATTTACTTTAGTTTCCCGTCGCAGCACCACGGGCTACAGAAAATGGCTTGGCGGGCCACATGGCAGCCTGCGGGCCGTATGTTGGACAAGCCTGTAGTAGATTTACCGTACATTAGCTACTGAGCAGTAGCGAATGGTTAGATACTGAATTGAGAGCAGTCAGCCCAGGCAGCAGTGGGCAGGAAAACAATCCCCTCTCTCAAGGACTGCCTGCAGCTGGAGCCAGCTCCTATCATGGAGCTCGGGTAGGGACAATATCTTTTTGCTTCTGCAGCAGGCAGCTCCCAGCCCCAGCTCTGTGATTGGAGCAGGGGAACATTGTCCCAGTCTGGGCTCCACAATCGGAGCCTGCCCAGCAGCAGGCAGCTGCCAGGGGCAGGAAGCAATCTCCCAGTCCCCTGTCCACAATCACGGAGCCACAGCTGGGAGCTGCTTGCTTCCGGGGCAGTGGAACATTGTCTCAGCCCAGCTCAATGATCAGTGAGGGTTAGTCAGCAGGCAACTGCCCGAGGCAAGGATGCATGGTGGGAGGCAGCTGCCTTGGAGGCAGGACATTTCCCCCCACTCCCAGAGCCCAGGCATGACAGCTGTGCCCCCTGC